GAGGATGGATCGGTGCCTCCCGAGCCCGAGGAGTCTTTTTCCGACTGGGATTTCCCGGATTTGGACGGGACGGAGATCGAGGAGCCGGATCCAGGATCGTGGAGGTTGGTGATGGAAGAAGTGGAGCACGGCAGGAACGATTCTTACGGTGCCGCGGTAGCCCAGCTGATCAATTCGGTGAATGATGGGGAGCTTGAGTTGATCCAGACTGCGGTGAAGGAGCTCCAGGGTCTAGCGGATCAAGGCCATGCTCATGCTCAGTCAACACTCGCGTCGCTCTACGGACACGGCTACGGTATGGAACAAAGTGACCTCAAGTCGTTTTTGTTCCACCATTTTGCTGCTGAGGGAGGGAATTATCAATCAAAGATGGCGCTCGCCTACAGCTACTACAGACAGCAAGTGAGTTATTTCTTCTTTTCTCTCTCTTTGGATTGATGATGAGTGTTGTTTTTCCCAGCTCTTCGAAGAGGCAGCTCATCTTTACGCCGAGCTCGCAGCAGCCGCTGTGGCCAGTTTTGTGTCTGCCAAAGAGGGGCCTTTGATCGAACACGTCCGTCTGAATTACGGTCCCGAGGAGAGTAAAGACTCGCTCAAGAAGTTCCGAGGTGAAGAGGATGACGATTTCCAGTTCCTTGAGTACCAAGCACAGAAGGGGAACTCAGCCGCAATGCACAAGATTGGTGTCATCTATTACTACGGACTGAGAGGTATTCCTCGTGACCACATCAGGGCGTTGTCGTGGTTTACGAAATCAGTCGAAAAGGGAGACTCGGCCTCTCTGGAATTCCTTGGCGAGATTTATGCCCGTGGTTTCGGAGTGGAGAGGAACTACACAAAAGCGTATGACTATTTCAAGAAGGCTATACGTGAGAAGCGTTTCTCGGCTTATAACGGGATCGGGTACTTGTACTTTATCGGGCAGGGAGTCGACAAGAAAAACATGACAAAGGTGAGACAGCGTTCTAATTTTTCCTTTTGCGTGTTCTTAACAACACTCTGGCGTGTCTGCAGGCCAAGGAATTTTACAAAAGAGCGGCAGATCATAATGATCCCAATGGTTTTTATAACTTGGGAGTCATCTATCTCAAGGGTGCCGGCGTCAAGAAAAGTATCAAGATGGCAAGTCGGTACCTGATCCTTGCGGCTAACACCGGTCATCCTAAAGCGTATTACCAACTTGCAAAAATGCAGCAGAGGGGCCTTGGTATGAAAAAGGACTTGCCTACGGTAAGTTCTTAATTCCCACATTCGTCCTCACATTACAATTTTCGACTGCAGGCTGTGGATTTGTACAAGGCCGTGGCCGAAAGGGGTCCATGGGGAGCTCTACTGCGATGGGGACTTGAAAGTTACCTGAAGGGCGAGATCGCTCTTTCTTTGCTGCTTTACTCCAGAGCTGCCGAGCTTGGCTACGAGGTGGCCCAAAGCAACGCGGCATGGATACTCGACAAGTTTCATGAAGAAGCAGTCTGCATTGGCAAAAATGGTTACTGTACCGTTGAAGAACGCCATCACCGTGCGCACACGCTGTGGCGTTTTGCGTCGGAACAGGGAAACGAGTATGCGGCTTTGTTAATTGGTGATGCGTACTACTATGGACGGGTATATTACTTTTCTTTGCCTGGCTGGGAGGCACTCACTATTGGTACTTTTTGCAGGGAACAGTGAAAGATTTGGATCGTGCTGCAGAGGCATATATGCGAGCACGTTTACAGTTTAACGCACAGGCAATGTATAACATCGGCTACATGCATGAACACGGTTTGGGCTTACCCAAGGACTTCCATCTCGCCAAGAGGTACTACGACCTGGCCCTGGACGCAGACCAAAGCGCCTTCTTACCAATCTATCTTGCTCTGGGAGTTCTCTGGCTGCGGCAGCGTAACGAGGAAAGCATGCTGGTAAGTAGGCTACCTTTCTCTTTCTCAGATATGTTTCCTGATTCGAGCTTTAACAGGTGAAAGCTATTGACATGCTCCCGGAACTGAGTAAACAATTCACGACCTGGGCCCGAGACTTTACTACGGCTTTCTCCATTGAGGAAGGCAACGCGACTTTACTCACTCTGGTGGTGTGCCTGGTGACTGTTCTATACCTGCGATCTTTACGACGCCAGCAAAGGCAGCAAGAGGATGCCGTCTATGGTGAACAGGAATGAGGTCGTATGATATCATTGTATACGTTTAGAGCAGCGGACTAATCATAATCGAAAGCGCAAGGAAAATTTTTGTTTTATCACTTTGTCTGGCTTACTTTGGTGACTGGCAGGAAGCGAGGCAGGCATCGCTATCAGCTGGGGAGAGAACTTATCCCCTCGGGACAGGGAACTTTTCATTGGTCATCCTGGATTCTGCCAGCTCGGCACTCGCGTTTTTCAGCAGCCAGCTTTGGGTTGGAGGAGCTCTTGGGCCTGCAAACATATGCCACAAGTAAGTTCGTCTGGGTGTTTTTCTTTTTTCGTCAGCCAGAGTAACTAACCGGGAGCTCTTTGATTCAGTGGGGACGAGGAACAGTGAGCATCGCTAAGATGGTGTGCTCAATTGTCAACCTCAATCGTTCTGCCATGATCCCAGACCATGAACAGACGTCCTTCGCTGCTCCTCCACTAAGCTAGCCACCACAGCTCACGGCCATTGGGGAAGAAAGCTAGAAAAAAAAAAGAACAAGAACAGAACGAGGACACTGGGAACAAAAAAAACTTGGGAAATTGCTACGTGATGGCGGTCACTTCGAGCAAACGCGTTGGTCGAAACAGCTTCAGCATGAGGCGCACCAACGATTGGTAAGTTGGATTCATCATGACTTGGCTCCGGGTTTTACTGCTTTCTACCGTTTTCTCATCGCAGGGTCATGTCGACTGACGTCCCGACGGATATCACGGTAGACATCTGCGGAACCAGCTTTGCCCTCCACAAGGTAGCGGAGCTTCTTCCTTCACTCTCCACCAACAGAATTTCTCATGAATTTTGGTGCGGGTTTCATGCTCTCGTGGTTACAGTTCCCCCTGGTGTCGAGGAGCGGAAGGCTGCGAAAGCTCGTCGCGGAAGCCAGGGACTCGGACCTGTCCCGAGTCGAATTCAATGACATCCCCGGCGGGCCGGAAGGATTTGAAATGGCTGCGAAGTTCTGCTACGGCATCAACTTCGAGATCACGGCGTCCAACGTTGCAATCCTCCGGTGCGTAGCAGAGTATCTGGAGATGACGGACGACTTTGGCCAGGCAAATCTCGCGTCCAGGAGCGAGGCCTTCATCGAAGACGTGGTGATGCACAGCTTCGGGAGCTCAATCACGGTTCTCCACAGCTGCGAGAAGCTCCTTCCAATGGCGGAGCAGCTCAACATTGTCAACCGGTGTGTCCAAGCAGCAGGGGCCAAGGCCAGCCACGAGGCGCTCTCCCTCGCAGCTCGTCCAGAGTACCGCAATGCCAAGACGCCTCCGCAGCTCGACTGGTGGGCCGAGGACCTCTCCATTCTCAGCCTCGACTTCTACCAGAGGGTGCTGGCCGTGATGAGAAGCCAGGGGATGCCGCAGGAGAACCTGTGGGGGAGCCTCATGCACTACGCGCAGCAGGCTCTGAAAGGATTCAACAGCACCAGCAGCAAGAGCCCCGGAAGATCGGTCACCGGACTGGAGCACGAGCAGCGGATGCTCGTGGAGACCATCGTCGGTTTGCTGCCACCGGACAAGAGATCTGCGTCTTGCGGCTTCCTCTTCGGGCTCTTGCGGACGTCGATCATCCTGGACACCACGGTTGCCTGCCGACTAGAGCTGGAGAGGCGGATCTCATTGCAGCTGGACGAGGCGACGCTGGACGACCTGCTGATACCATCGTTCTCGTTCGCGGCCGATACCCTCTTCGACACGGACCTCGTCCATCGCCTGCTCTCGAGCTTCCTCCAGCACCATCTCCAGGACGAGTCCAAGGCGTCGCAGAGCTCGCTGGCAAAGGTGGCGAAGTTGATGGACAGCTATTTGGCGGAAGTAGCGCCGGATGCCAACCTCAAAGTCTCCAAGTTCATCGCGCTGGCCGAGTTGCTGCCCGAGCACTCGAGGATGGTCGAGGATGGATTGTATAGAGCGGTGGATATCTTCCTCAAGGCAAGCTAGCTTTCTTCCTTGTGTTTTTCCACTTTCTTCGTTGGCGAAGAACACCTCTTTGATCCAAACTCTTCCTGTTCCTCCAGGCCCATCCTTTGCTCGTCGAGGCCGATCGCAAGAGAATCTGCAAGCTCATGGATCCCCAGCGCCTGTCCCAAGAGGCGTGCAGCCATGCCGCGCAAAACGAGCGCTTGCCCGCGCACTTCATCATCCAGGTTCTCTACTTCGAGCAGCTGAGAATCAAGACCGCGCTCGCAAACTATGCCATCGAGATGCCCAAGGGCGATCACGGCCCGACCCCCATCGCCGCGGCGCTGCGATCGTCCACGGCTGCTGCCAATGCCGCTGCTGCCGCCGCTGCCGCCGCTGCCGATGCGAATCCCCAATCCGCGCTGCGGAGGGAGAACAAGGAGCTCAAGATCGAGCTTACCAGGATGAAGATCAGGCTATCAGACTTGGAGAAGGAGCAGAGCCCGGGAGTATCGAGGGCGAGTGAGGAGAAGAGGCTGAGCAGCCCGACGTCGTCCGCCGCTAGCTCGCCTGGATCCGGCCGGTTCTTCCACACTGTGTCGCGGCGCCTTGGAAAGCTTAATCCGTTTGGGAAGAGCTCGCTCAAGCCGCCGGCCACGCCCGAGCTCCAGAAGCCGCGGCGCCGCCGGCATTCGATCTCGTGACGCTCGATCGAGAAGCTCTCGATCGCTCCAGCAGAAGAAGAAATCCAATTTTTAGTCTCCAAGAACTCCAAGAACCCTAGAGTATTGTCAAATGGATAGGCAGGAAGCGCGCGTGGAGATGGTGGTGATCGCCGGCGAGGATCTCAAGAATGTGACGAGCTTGCTCATGTCTGGCAGCAAGATGAGCTCCTACGTGGTGTGCTGGGTGGATCCGTGCTCCAAGCGCTCCACCAGGATCATCAAGAGAGGCGGTAGGGATCCCGTGTGGAATGAGGCGCTGTCGCTGCCCGTGGATGCGATTGCGCTCGCCAATCCCTACGCCTGCCTCACGCTCCAGGTGATGAGCAGCCGATCGGGGGGGGACGATGCGGTAGTGGGCAAGGCGTGGATGCCGCTCCACGAGATCGCGAGGCTCTCCACCACGACCTCGGCATTCGATAATATCATCTCTCTCGGCGTCCAGCGGCCGTCTGGGAGGATGCAAGGCTCGATCCGGCTGTGCGTGTGCTTGATCGGGGCGGGATTCCACAATGCTGGTTCCACGAGTGGGGGAAATTTCCATCCGGGCAAGCCGATGCTCCAAATCCAAATGCCCCAGCACCAGATTTCTTCTCCTGTTGAGAGCTCGCTTGAGGAATTCGCGAGTCCATCGTCATCCTCGGGAGGAGGAGGGGCACCAATCCAGCCGGTGGAAGGGATCCCAGTGATTGGCTTTGCTGCTGGGGCAACGAGCTACCATCAAGGCCACCACCACTTCCAAATGCCGCCATATCTTCCATCTCCATCGGCACCACCAGTTCTTCCTGATCACAACGGTAACGGGAATGGTAACGCTCGTGGTCATGGTCATGGTAATGGTAATGGTCTACTTCTGGGGCTTTTGGGTGGTGCCTTGGCTGCGCTTGTGCTGGGTGATATTTTTTTCCAGTGAAGATCTGGCTGCTTGGGTGACATGTTTTTCCAGTGGGATCTGTTGCTTCTCTTTTCTTTGTGGATACTGTGCTTGCTTGCTGCTGCTTGGGATTTAAAATTATTCTGAGTGCGTTGCTGCCGGCCTCGAGTTTGTCATTATCATCACCTCGTAGATGTGTTCGTCATTTTAGTCGAAGGTGTTCTTCCTGGTTGTTTGGGTCATGGCGGAAGTGGGTCTCGCCTTGGGCTCCTTGCCGGTGTCCAGGCAGATTGTTTCTTCGAGAAAAGCAAGAATTAGAGCTGCTGGATTTGGGTCCTGGTTTCCTGGCTTTCAGCTGAAATGCTCTCGGCTAACAGCCGAGGCGAAGGCTCATCCGCGAATTGTCCAAGCCGAACACAATCTGGTAAGTAACTAGTTTCTTCAACTGGGTTCCTGATGGCTTTTTGTGTTTCACAGAGTCTGGAAGATGTGAAGGAGACATCGGAGGTGGAGAAGCCGCTTAAAGTAGCTTTAATTTGCGGGGGACCTTCAGCCGAGAGAGGGATATCTTTAAACTCTGCAAGATCCGTTCTTGATCACCTCCAGGTGGTGTTCTCTTCTTATCCATTTTTTTTTTTTTTCGCAATTTGTGTAACGAAAACGTTGGTGCAGGCGGAAGATGTTGAAGTTGATTGTTACTACATGGATCAGCAACTTCGTGCCTATGCAATTTCACCTTCTCAGGTTCGTCACCTTGCAAAATGATGAAGTGGAGAAATTGTGGGCTATGCTTGATACTTCTGCAGATGTACTGTAACACGCCTTCTGATTTCGATTTTAAGCTGCACAGGTGACAGACGAATTCATGTACGCATTTTTTAATTTTTTTTCTCATCATTTGTATTTTGGCAGCTTGGCTCAATGCTTCACGTCCCAGGCCGATTTCTTGCGACGGTTAAAATCTTCCGTCGATATTGTGTTCCCGGTGATACACGGGAAATTTGGTGAAGACGGAGGCCTACAGGTTATAGAAAGAATTGCAAAAGCTGTAACCTTTCAAATCCCGTGAACTGTGCAGGAACTTCTGGAATCCGCTGGAATACCGTTCGTGGGAACTGGTTCTTCAGCAGCCCGTTGTGCCTTCGATAAGGTAAGCTTTGATGGTATTTTGTATTGCCTTAATTTTGGATATTGCAGTATGAAGCAGCAAAAGAGCTTTCCCGTTTTGGATTTGTGACAATTCCAAGCTTTCTTATTGACGTAAGTCCCTTTTTCTTGAGCCAACTTGAAAATACTTCCTTCCAGAGTCCCGAGATTGATAAGGCAGCATTGGTAGAATGGTTCAAGGCTAACGATTTGAATCCTTCTTCAGATCGTGTTGTGGTAAGGCTTCACCAGGAGATAGTTGACTCTATCCGCTTTTCAACAGGTGAAACCAGCCAAATCGGGATCAAGCATAGGGGTTACTGTGGCTCATGGACTCGACGAGGTCATCCGTGATGCTGAGACTTTACTTAAAGAGGTGAGTGATACCGACAAGTTGTCTTTGTGTTTAAAAGAAGAATTTATTTTGTCCAGGGCATTGATGACAGAATCGTGGTGGAAGTTTTTCTGCAAGGCTGTACAGAATTTACCGTCATTATTCTCGATACTGGTTCTGGTGAACAAGTTCAGCCAGTTGCTCTTCTTCCCACAGAGGTATACATTTGCGTGCTGGGCCTACTTAAACGTATTTTATCGCTGTAGGTGGAACTGTTACATGCCGATGGGCAGTCGATAGGTGAAAAGATTTTCAATTACCGGAGAAAGTATCTTCCAACTAGACAGGTATGGCATGTATATCCGTTTCATTTGTACTTAAGATCTTTCAGGTTTCTTACCACACACCTCCTCGTTTTCCTGTTCAAACCATTCAAAGCATACGTTCTGGTGCCTCGAAGCTTTTCACACTCCTGAATCTACGTGATTTTGCTCGAGTAGATGGCTGGTTACTTCCACCTTCAAGTTCATTCAACAAATCAAATGATTTTTTGGTCGTCTTTTCGGATGTCAATCTGGTAGTAAAGTCGTTTCTCATTTATATGTGAGTGCAACTGACTCAGTGAACAGGTTAGCGGCATGGAGCAAACAAGTTTTCTGTTTCAACAAGCTGCACAGGTATAAGTTCAACAAGTACGTTTTATCATGCTGTATTGACACCATGTGAAGGTTGGTCTGAGCCACAGAGATGTTCTGCGGTTAGTCCTGAATCGAGCGCGCACAAGATATCCCAGCCTTTCAAATTTTCCTCAGGTGGGATTGCATGAAGTTGATGGCACTCCGCAAACAAGTAAACGAAAAGTCTACGTCTTGTTTGGAGGAGGAAGCTCAGAACGACAAGTGTCATTGATGAGCGGAACCAATGTTTGGCTCAATCTTCGCGGCTGTAAGGACGTAAGTTTTGGTCACCTGAATCAATGGATACTCAACCGTTTGTATTTCCTACGACAGCTCGATGTCTCTCCATTTGTTCTTGTACCCCAATCAAGGGGTGAATCGCCGGAATCAAGATCAATTTGGGCACTTCCGTAAGTTTATTTACTCGTCCTTTTCGCGAATAACAGTATTTTGCATGACAAGGTATGCTTGTGTGCTTCGTCACACTGTGGAAGAGGTGGTTGACGGTTGTTTAGAGGCACTGGATCCTGGTTTTTCTGCTGTTTCTGGCTCACTCAAAGCACAAGTGATGTCAGAACTTAGTTCCAGTGGTTCTAAAGTTGATTACAATGTGGGATCCGGCGTCCCAACGAAGTTGTCCATGAGTGAATGGATTCAGCATGCTAAGGATGAGGACGCTATTGTTTTTATAGCAGGTAAAAACTCTGAATTTTTTGCTGTTTATTGTAGTAACCGCGCGCCTTGTGCAGTGCACGGTGACATTGGGGAGAACGGGATATTGCAAGAGATGCTCGAAGCGAAAGGCATACCATTTACAGGTGACATGATTTTGCATTTGCAAAGCTTCTTACCGCGTGTATGGATTAGGATCTGGCGTGAAGGCATCCCGGATATGTATGGACAAAGCCGTTACAGGTCATACGATTTCTCCTGTAAGTCAGCTCTAATCGTTTTCTTGTTTTAATATGAGTTGTTTCGTTCCTTGTAGTTGAGTTCGAATGGAGTTTATAGTGCCCAAAGAGTTGTCTATAAGACAGCAGAGCTGCTTCATGACTGTGGAGATAACAGGCAACTTTGGCTCTCGTTGCAAGACAAACTGGAAGATTCTAGCATATGTGTGAAACCAGCAGCTGATGGATGCTCCACGGGAGTTGCGAGATTATGGTAAGGAAGTCTAGTGACATGAAGAACGTTGCTGATAAAATTGCCGCAGCTGTGCAAGGGACTTGACGGTATATCTCACGGCATTGAAGGAAAAGCTACCTCGTTTGCTCCCAGGATCTCTCGGCAAGGTAAAAATTGTCATGACCTCCAGAAACCGATTCTAAGCTTGTACTTTGCAGCCGCATGGAATTATTGAACTTCCTACCACTATCCCGGATAGTTTGATCTTTGAACCGTTTATACAAACGGATGATATACTTGTGTGTGAAGAATCTCAAATCGCATGGGAAGGCAAGCATAGATGGGTGGAAATCACAGCTGGTGTGATTGGTAAGAAGGGTGCCATGCATGCTTTGCATCCAAGCATCACACTGAAGGAATCTGGCGACATTTTGTCCTTGGAAGAAAAGTTTCAAGGTTTGAACAATTCCACCCAACAAGTTAATTACGTTTTATTTTTGTTTCTTTCTTTGCAGGTGGTACTGGCGTCAATTTGACTCCACCACCTCCTCTCATTTGCAGGTTAGTTGTAAACCTTACGTTTGGCGTAGAGTCACAGGTTCTTTATTATCTTTCTGCAGTGAAGAAGCAGTACGTTCGTGTAGAGAGCGTATTGAACTTGTTGCCAACACCCTCCAATTGGAAGGATTTGCTCGAATTGATGCTTTCATGAATGTGGACACTGGAGAGGTATGGTTGTAATCACTTTCGAAATTCTTGACTCAAAATTGGCGACAGGTGATTGTTATAGAAGTGAACACGGTCCCTGGAATGACTCCCTCGACAGTTTTAATTCATCAGGTTTGAAGACAGATTCTAAGCTGCGTGTACAAACTGCTTACGCTGAAAATT